GGAAATTTAATGATATGATATAATACGTCAATAGACAGAGTGACAATTATTTTTTTATATATGAAGACATCTGACTTATATTTAATGAGATTTCTAATGCTGATTCCTTTTTTGTTTAACTCTAGGATTGATGGGACTGATTCTTGCATGTTCTAATGGATCTATTGGAATTGATACAAAAAAAATAATATGTCAGTCATGCAAAATATGATATGATATGTGTTTATGACATGATTCTATATAATTAGACATGACATAACATAACATATGCATAAATTATATGATATGACAAGATACATAAATAAGATACATGATGAGCCTGATATAAGTACAAGATACATGGTTCATACATATTGATACGACATGACATAAACATAACTAGATATGATAGACATGTTGATATACATAATATGGTATAAATATGAATCTATGATATTAATCTGCATGAATAATTGATGGAACACAAACATGATGCATTGATGCCGTATCATATCAATATATACTAGTAATTAATTTAACATATGCACAATAACATTAATTCATATGATAACCTTTCATATAACATTTTATGTGATACACTAGAACAGGATGGAGTCAAGGATAATTGATGCTATTATGATATACATATGTCTAATTTGGCATATACATGATGAGTGTAATAATATTGATAAAAAAATTATACAAAGATCACTATTTCGACATATGTTAATATTTATATTAATTGTCACATGTTCATATTGATCTAGTCTGAATGATTTCATTCATATTATTTCTATTTCTATGCACTAAATATAGTTGTAGGCTTTGGTAATCTATTGGAATGTTAACTCATTATGTAGTTTGCATGATTTTAGGGAAGGCTCATAATCCAATAGAGTGAGGCTAATCTGGATTTAGTGGATATTGGTATTTTACTTTTTATTTTTTATTCTTTTATAGCCATGAATAATATATATGTTTTGAAGTTTATATGAAATGAATGTTCATTCCATTGTTTTAACTATATTTGGATATTATTAGTGGATCTGGAATAAAAAAAGAAGATAAAAGATAATTCTTTCCAAATAGGTATAGGGTAATTTCAATTATCTCGCTCAAGTTTAGATTAATAAATCAGGATTGTGGGCTAATTTTTGGTCAGGGGGTGACAGTCCCCTACTAATTAATCCACCAACAATGATTGGTTAATCAGCATGCTCATAAAGTGTAAAATCGAGGTGAACTATAGGTCATAGAGGTAAAATTAAATCACTTAAGAGGTAAAATCACCATATAGATTGATGATATTGATATGATTTTTAAGTTTTAGCTTCTGCTTTAGTTTCGATCTCAATTTTTTTGTATAGTACTTTTTAGCACAATTTTTTGTTATTTTGCTTTCAGATATTGTTTTATATTTTAGGCTATAATAGCCTACTGAGTCGTGTTAATTCATTCCTGCTTTTGTTTTTATGTCAGGCCACAGGAAGGGTACGGAGCGAGCTGAGTAGTTTGGATAGTAGGATCTGATTTGTGTAGTATGAATGTTTTGTTAGTTTTGATTTTTTTTTTTAATGCTTGGCTTTTATTTTGTTATTCTCTTTGTTGCCAAGTATTATTCTAAATAAACTTTAGATTGTATATATTGTTGATGATATATTAAAAATTATTTTGAAATTCAATAATCTTTCAATAGTGGCTGTATGTACTATATAAATTAAAAGTTTTTTCATTATTTCTCCAACTAGATTTTGGGGTTAGTATTGTCACAATCAGACACAGTATGACCTACGCAATTGTAAGTCATATCGAGCCGGGTTGTGACAATCCTATGGTCAATTCATATTAAATTTAGGCTATGATATATATATATATATATGTATATATATATGAAAAGGATCTTAACTAAATATTAAATTTTAGAAAAATATTTTAATTATTTTATGATGTACGAAAATTTGAGATGAAAAGTTTTTGTTCATTTTTATTTGACCGTCAAATATTTTTAAGTACACGCACATCATATTTTCTACATCTCTCGTTGTGTCACTCATGCCCTTTTCTATCTCTCTACGCTCATCAACCTCTTATCCCCTTGTTGTGCCTCCAAATACTATTGTCCAACAAATATTTCAATAATCCTTAATGAAGAGGTCCATGTTTTAATAAAGAGTTTTCGATTTTTTTCCACAATATCACAAAATAACAAATTCTTATTTTATAGCATCAACATCAAGTTTAGTTCTTAAATACAACATCATTAATAAAGTTATTTTCAATTGTATTTTTAATAGATGTCACTCCAACTAATCTTCTAATATAATTACTCCTTATTTTATCCTTCATAATTTGTTTTTATGCATGCATCTTAACATTTCAATTTTTTTACAACATACATATCAATATTTCTTTAACTCCCAACATTCAAATTTATATAGCATTATCAGCATAATTACAATTTCATATACATTTCTTAGTCTCCAATATACCCTCTTAGTTGCAACAACCTTCCACTAATTCTATAGCTCCTATAATTCTTTTCTTGTGGGATATTTGAGCCGTTAAATTAAACTCACACACACATCACATATACAAGTTACGAACTCAAGTCCTCTTGATTAGTAGCCAAAGCCCCCAACCAACAGACCAAGATGAGCTACATAACTCTTATAATTCCACTAGCTCTTATAGTGCGCTACCTACTTCAAGTAATCAGCAACCTCCACTCGTTTTACGGCTGTAACAAAATTCCACGTTGGCTCTACTTCTTTTTCTTTTTGTACAACCACCAAAATTTTCAATAATGAGCAATTATGATATTAATTTTTTTTTTAACCTTAACCACTAAGTATCAGGTCCTTTCACACTAACAAGACAATCGATAGGGCAGTGTGTCTTACTTAGATATCTATGTCTAATTTGTTGGGAAAATTATTCTGTGCGGACATTGGACGTCATCCATAGTCGAATCAGAGCGCACCACATCACTTTTTTGTTGTGTACAACGGCTGTGTGCTGCGTACCACTATGTACCGGGTGATGTGGCCCTCTCTAGTTCACCTCTGAACGATTAAGTATCCGCACAGAATAATCTCTCAACTTGTTGAGGGTATAAAGAAGTTTCCCACCATTTATTTAGAGCAGTAGTAAATATTTCAATGCACGTAACAATTTTTATCATCAGCTGTGAAGCTTCTGATATTCAAGTTCAGTCTATCTTCCCTGTCTTGATGATGATCTTTTTTCTCTTTAAATTCATGTAGATCTGAAATATTTTTTGTTGATAACTTACTTTTAATATTTCACGTTACTCTGATGATATCAAATTGATTTTCTTTGCCTGCAAATGATTTACTTTAAGTAGTGCTACCTGTATGGTGTGGCTATTCAATCAGTTCATCATTGTGCCGAACCACTCCACCGCTATTTGGCTGTTAGTTCCAGTTCTCGTGCAAACCTTTACTTCCACAATACCAAAGAGAAGGTGGATCACTTTGTTGAGGCACTTAAAGCTACAAGCAACTATTGATTTTAATATATATATATGTATCATATTGATATTAATATTGATACCACATAGCATAGAATATTAATATGACTTATTTGATGACTTTTTTATCATTTTGATTTTATTATTAATTTTAAAAATTTTTATTACTCATATTAAGTAATGATGGATATTGACTGGAATTGAACATACATATTAATTCTTTTGCCTAGTATTAAAAGTAGTTATATAGTTTTGATTTTTTTTTTAAGCTTATTATGTAAATTTTAATGATTTCACGTTAGGGAATATGTCAAGATTGTGAAAAGTGATGCTGTTAAAGATTGCCAGGTTCTTTAGATTTTGCTCTTCATTTTTTTTTTAATTCTTTTATAGTTAGAAACTTGTGATCAATTAGTGATTATACTAATTTCATGACTATTATATAGTGATTTTGAGAGAATAAATATTGTGCAATATTTTGAGATATGTAATTATTAGTTGCTTTCATTGAATATATATTTATTATTTTAATGACTTATAGAAGCTCTAATTGATTAATTAAGAAAATAAAATAGATAATTCTTCTAAATTTAATTCTGAAGCGTTATATTAATTATGTGAGAAATGTTATTGTGACAATTAATTAGGTTGTACTGTTGACTTAGGCCCCAATTATGTTGGTCAAACTTGTTAGGGGGTTATAAGGGGACCTATCCTTGCTTGGATTTGGCGGCTTTGACCCCATTTTTTTCGTACAACCATACAACATTGTGACACAATATACTTGAGCATCATGGCACTCTAGTCTTTGGTTAAAGATAGAGAAAAAAAATTGTTGTAACACTATAGGATGCAAGTACATAATGCTGCAAGGTGGCTTAGAGACACAGTGAAACTCAATAACAAACTTTACAAAATATCATTTGATTTTGTATAATTAAAGAACCGCTCTGCCATCCTCTCGTATCAGTAATAGAGCACAGCAGCTTAACAAAAGATGGAAGCATAAAAATTTCAAGGGAAATTTACATGCATACCACTTTATTTCATGTTATTTACATATCTAACATTCAAAATATTAATATTACATGTCTACCACCCATAAAAAACTTTACTATCAAATCTACCACTCCTATAATTCATTTCTACCATTCATATCATCCTATAAACTTTAATATTTCACTTCATGCATCCAATTTTGTTCTATGGATGGTAGATATGTAATATGTAAATAACATGAAATAAAGTGGTATGTATGTATGCAAATCCCTTAAATTTCAAATGATCCGTGCAAAAAGTGAGGCACAAATGCATCAATTAAAAATGAATAAAAAAAAAACTATATTTATGAACCAATCACCCGAATGGTTAACTGACAGGTAGCTGTAATAAAAATCTAAAATTGTTAGGGGGCCTTTTTGATGGCTTGGTGACAAAGCTAAGCGTAAGTTTAATGATGCAAACCGCTAAGCTTACATATTCCGAGAAATTAAAATAGCAGGCCTAATGTAGCTAATCTAAACGCAAAGTATTAGAAAGTAAAAAAGTTGTGCAAATTTTTAAATTTAAGAAAGCAACAAATCCGGTATACAGGAGGGAGTGAATGAAAGCCTGGTATTCGATTAACAGCGCCAGAACCAAGATAAAGATGGGAAGGGAACAGATGGTTTTCCAGAAAACAAAAAGAAATTAAATATCCAAACAGTCTCAAACGAAGAAGAGGTGGAGCATGTTTCATCCCATGGCATACTTCTGGGTCCAGTTGCGAGCAGTGGCCTCATACTTTGCTCTGTCGGTTTTATACATCTGAGCAATCTCAGGCACAAGTGGGTCATCCGGGTTCGGATCAGTCAATAGTGAGCAGATAGAAAGCAAGACCTGTTCACCAACAAAACTAGACAAATTAGTAGAATGAGACGAAAGTAATGTTGAAGCCAAATATTTTACTCCATAATTTATGAAAATAAAGATTAAGGCTTTGTTTGGGACGGCTTTCTTAATGCTTTTAAAGCAACTTTTTAATACAACAAAGAAATTTTTTATACTTAAAAAAATTATTTTAAGAAGTAATAAAAAAGCCGTCTCAAATGAAGTCTAAAAGATTTCTTGTCATAACACAGTTCTTGTTTGTGATTAAGTAGCTCATTAGTTGCTCCACAAGTACATTCCATTCCATGAATAAATCACAAACAAGAACTGTGTTATGACAAGAAATGCATTACCAAAGAAAGGTTGATCTCATAGGTCCCAAAAAAACAGAAGTGATAACTGTGAACACAGTACTTTTATCTAACCACCTCTCTGATGAATGTTGTAGCTAATGTGACTGTCGTGTAGGGATGATGTAAGAAAATGAAGTGAGCATACTTACTCAACCTGTCAACCACCACCAAAATCACTATAAACCTCTCAGATCGGGGTAGCCCATCTATGAAATCTATGATAACATCTTCCCACACTCTATCTGGAAGAGTCAAGGTTTGAAGTAGTCCCCCTGGAGTCACAATCATGTACTTATTTCTCTGCATACCTCACACCTAGCCACCATCTCCTCCACATCCTTATGCATCCCTTTCTAATAAAATTTTGCTGCCAACCTTTTGTATGTGTTTTGCACCCCCAAATAGCCTTTAATTGCGCTCCCATGAAATTCCTGCAGCACAACGTTTAAAATTGCACAATAAAAGGCGCACCTTGAGGCGCGCCTCAGCGCAATTTCGTCCATTTAAGCCTCAAAGCATACGCAATAAGTTTAGTTTATGAGGCTTACGCCTCAAATTTACTGAGGCGCGCCTCGCCTCATATATTTAAGGCGTCGCTTTTTTAAAATTTAACCTAAATTTTTTTTTTTCAGTTCGGACCCTCAGTTGCTGACGTGGCGCGCCTAGTGAAATGTCGACATGTTCATTGCCTAAATAACTGTCGCTAATTGTGAGTGCTAAGTGCTAACTGCTAAATAACTGTCGCTTAATAACTATGTATGCTGACAAAAGGCCCCGTTTTTTCTTTGATGGGCCGATGATATTGTATATACTACAGAGGGTGATCACTAACTTATTTGCTAATATAAGAAAAAGTCAGATTTGTAATGTCCTACAGGCAGTTTCCCAGGCATAAATGGATATGGTTAATGTCGAGAAATATCCA